TTATCTTATTTATTGGTTTGAAGATAGGGTAAAAATTCTGATACTTTTTAAATACTTTATATAATTGACTTGTTAAACCTGGAATGTAAACTTAGAGTTTTTTTTGGTTTTTCCTAAGCAGATTATAATGTGGTATTTGTAACTGAATTTGCTCATTTACTCTTTCAGGACGGGCTCGGTCCCTGGGATTGACCTCGTAACAATTATATATTTTGAATTATGAAACACAAAACTATGATAAAAATGAAAATTTCTAATGTTTTTTATTTTATTGTTTGATTAGGATGCATTCATCAAAATTACTCGAACAGAAGGGAAGCGTTCGTTGTGGAGTGGACTTCCTACTACTTTGTAAGTTATTCATTTGTTTCTGAAACTTTTGCTTTAAGATTAGAACATTTCAACTGAGTATAAAGCTGATGTTTTCATTGGTAAGTCGCTTCTTATACCCTAGCTTGAAAAGACATAATAGTTAAAATCGTTGAGAAATGCGTTCAACATTCTGGCCAAATTACTTCATCTGTAATTTGAGAATTATTTTGCTCTAGCTGCATTTATCTCATTGTTTTATTAGTACACTTATTTTTAAAACCCATAATAAAAACTTATATTGTAATTTCATTCATGTTATTTATTTGATTTAGTGATCTGTATAATCCTTTTTATATTACATTGAAGGCTAATGATTTTCTGGTACAGATTTTGATAAAGTTTTGTAATAGTTTAATTCTGCTATGAAACATGAAATAAGGTTAGTTAACTACTTATTGAAACCAAATGACCCTCATCTGGTTAATTGGTGTTGGATATTTATATAAAGGTGTGGTAGATTATGTATTACAGAACGTTATTTTACTTCTGTTGTGAACAATTATGACAGTTTTTATTTTGTTTAATTATTGGTTTTGAATACTGTAGTACTCGCATAATGAGTGCTTAAAGCTAACATTTGACACTGACAAGTAATGAACGTAGTACCAGTAAACTTAACTTTAGCATAGTGTTGTTAAACTTGTTCTCCTCATTCTTAACATTCTGATTCAGTAATCAGAGCCTGAAATGTTATCAAAGACCACAAAAAGGGGCTACAAAAATCCATAAAAACACAGTCCACAGCTATGGATATTGTAAATGTTATTGAGACAAAACATAAGTTTTATTATTACAATTGTTTTTCCTGTTAGAGTGATGGCTGTTCCAGCTACTGTCATCTACTTCACTCTGTATGATCAACTTCGAGCTTATCTGTTACATCATTCCAATGCTTCAAAGCAGGCACTTTGGGTTCCAATGTTGGCTGGAGCAGCTGCAAGAGGTTAATTTCTAAATTTAACTTAATTCCTTATGGTTTTACTTAAACTGAAATCTCACTTCATTCCCTCTCTTGTCGTTTTTGAATTGTAGTTCTACATTATATTCTTCTCTTGAAGTATGTTCACACAGTTATTAACATCTGTATTAACAGTTCATGACTTTCTTAATAATTCCACAAATTTAAGTATTATGTAAAGTAATCTTATCGGTATATTAAAAATAATTAGTTAATTAGTATGGTATACTTAAGTCGATCCAACTTAGAATTAAAAATAAGATGTAGTAGTTATGGAAATTAATGAACTTTTTAAAATATTTAATGAATATTAAAGTTTATTTATTAGTCTCTAAACTGCTAGTGTTTTTATAAACACTTATACGTTGTTTATGATATCACTGCTTTTATTTGCCTTTTAAGGCACGTGTATTTATTTAAATGAAAAATAGTAACTCTGTGGATTATTCCTTTTTAATGAAGAAAAAAGTTTAGATGTTTGAGTGATGTCGAAGTGAAAAATTACAGTTAATTTCTTCAGTTTGAGATAAAAAATTTTTTTTGTAAGGTATAAGTACTTCACATAATCTTGTGTAAGAAAGTATAAAAAAAGTGTTAAAAAATGAAAATAAATTATTTTCACAAGTTTTATATGAAAGAAATATTAAATGTGATGTTATTTTCACAATTGGATATTTTTAGTAATATTTAGTTTTTGAAAAGTTCTTTTACACTTGACTTCTTGTGTAACTTTCAGTTATTGCCGTAACAGTGATAAGCCCATTGGAATTGATAAGAACCAAGATGCAGTCCAAAAAGCTGAGCTATTCGGGTCTGTATAATGGAAGTTTTTGTTTTTATACTCGGAGCAATTATCAAAAGTTATATAAAAACAGAAAGCTTAAATGTTTCATATCTTTTCTACTTTGCAACAACACTTTATTCATTTGAGAAATACAATATTATAGGTCCTCAAACTGTGGTTGTTCTCTACTCAATCCTCAAACTACTGACTGGTGAGGTTCATATACAGAAATGAAATATTATAGGTCATCAAACTGTAGTTGTTCTCTACTCAATCCTCAAACTACTAACTGGTGGGGTTCATATACAGAAATACAATATTATAGGTCATTAACTGTAGTTGTTCTCTACTCAATCCTCAAACTACTGACTGGTGGGGTTCATATACAGAAATACAATATCATAGGTCATCAAACTGTGGTTGTTCTCTACTCAATCCTCAAACTACTGACTGGTGGGGTTCATATACAGAAATACAATATCATAGGTCATCAAACTGTGGTTGTTCTCTACTCAATCCTCAAACTACTGACTAGTGAGGATCATACACAGAAATACA